GGAGCGGCAGGCAGAGGAGAAGCAGACTCCCCGCTGAGCAAGGGAGCCCCACACAGGACTCGATCCCAGAACCCTGGGATCATGACTGAGCCACCCAGGCGCCCCTCCACTGATTTTCAAAACAGATATTCTATACAAAATATCCACTCCACAAATATTTACCAAGGCCCTTGCTTTGCATGGGCCAAGCACTGTGTTAGGCCCTGGGGAATCTGGCGATGAGCAGAGCAGTCACTGTCCCTGAGAAATCCCAGTCTGATGGAGGAGACAGCCCAGTAAAAGAGCTATCCTCCCCTGGAAGAAGCATTAGGACAGCTGCCCTTCCCAGCTGTGGGACCCAGGGCAAGTCACCTAACTTCTCTGTGCATTGCTTTCATTATCTGCGGATGAGGATAATAGGAGTGCCCCTCCTTGGCAAGTTATGAGGGTTAAATAATATATTTAAAGGGCTTGGAACAATATAAATCACATAGAAAGGGCAATGGGAGAGTTTGTTCTTGTGGGTGGTGATAGTATTGTTATTCTTGGAGTGGTTACTGAGGGAGACAATACTTCCCTCACCCCGTGCTTTCCCAAACCAGAAGGCCCTCCCCAAGGAGGTCAGGCAAATGGAGTATTGAAGAAGAGGAGTTGGTCAAATGGCTGAGGGGCCCAGGGAATGGGGGAAGGAGAAGGGAGAGAACACTAAGGGGAGAAGATGGAGCAGAAAGAGGAGCCTGGGGAGGCACAGAGGTGCGGACAGCATGGCAAGTATGCGAGCAGAAAGCAGTTTCATTCAAACGGGGAGGTGATTTAGAAGATAAGCCATCAAGTTAAGGTTAGACCATAATGGACAGATCACAAAGGGTCTGATGCATCATGCTAAGGAACTGGAATTTTACAAAACCAACTTACAGAAAATCTTTTCTAGAGATGTGTGAAATGCTTACTCAGCTGTATCAGCAAAAGTGCCCTGCATGACCGATTACTGATAATAAGAATGGAAAATGCATGGAAGGGCCCACAGGTACCTGGCTCTGCCTGTAGATCCTTGGGTTTGTGGACTGTGATGATTTCGTGTAGCTTCTTTTCTCTATCCCTGGAGTGGCTCCCCTCTACCCACATGGCATGGTGGTAATAGCCTACCACCCTGACGGCATTCGAGGCTCTGACAAACTCTTCTGCTGTCCTTCCCAGCACCCTTTTGTCCTTACTATCAGAACCCTGACATTTTGTTCTGGTGTCCACACTTCTCTGCCATCCAGGAACTCAGCAGAGAAAATCCTGATTAGTTGAAACCACTCATGTACTTCTACCCCCTTTCCCAACGATGGGCTGAGGGATAGGAGGGCACTTGCCACAATTCTGGCCAGAGACAAGAGGGAACCCAGAAGGCTTCTGGGAAAGTTCTCTCTCTGAAAAAGCAATGCAGAAGCAGGCAAACCTCTTCTTCCTCTGTATGTGGTATTGGCTGAGTGACACCTGGAATTATATGTCCTCTAGAACATCCAACACAATGTCTTCCATAGTATAGTTCAATAAGTTTATGTTCCGTTGAAACATGAAGATTTAGAACAACTTCCTATGACATAATTAGGGTGGTTGTTATCCCTTTGGCAGATCAGGAAGCTGAGAGAGATGAATGAGCAAATATTAGGTCTAGAGAATAAGCAGAAATAAACCTAGTTCTCAGGATTGCTAGTGTTTCTACAATACTGGGATGCTTCTCTTTCATCTATGGGCCAAAAATTTTCACAAAGATTGGAATTTGTGCCCAGACAACAAAGGAAGGTATCGAAGTAAAGTAAATTGCTGGATTAAAATGACTTTTGCATTTTTGTTCACACTGGATAAGCCATTGGAGGCTGAACTAAAACATATGAAAAGATGGGTTCTAGTGCTTTTTCAAGTCAAAAATATACCTAGATGTCTCCATCAGATAGCTGCCCCAACCAGGAACAACAACCAATAATAGAGCTTGCCAATTAGTGTGCCCCAAAAGCATTGGGGTCCTTGGAGAGGCAGGCACTGTCTCATGGTTTGAGGAGCCTCTTCACTTGACCTTAGTGGCACAATCAGTTTGCACTGCTATCACCAAGAACTATAGACTGGATGGCTTATAAACAACCAACATGTATTTCTCAGTCTTGCAAAGGCTAGACATCCAACATCAGGGTACCCGATGGTCAGGTTCTAGTAGGGCCCTCTTCCAGGCTGCCATAGTCTCGTGTGTCCTCATACAGCAGAAAGGGGGCCAGAGAGCTCTGTGGTTCCTTTTACAAAGGCACAAATCCCCAAAGGCCCCCACCTAATACTACTACATTGGGGGTTAAGATTTCCATATCTGAATCGGCTGGGGGACACAAAGAGTCAGTCCATTGTACCCAGTGCGCCATACAAATGTTGTTACTATTCACGTGTGCCAGGACATGAAATACGTTCGGGAAGCCCATGCCAGTCTTCCCATGTCTTTCCCCGAATCTCCGTATCTCCCACTGCTGTCTTTCATAAACCCTCCATTTCAGCAAACTGATCTGCTCACTGTCCCCCAAATACTTTGAGGCTTGGAAACCTTCCCCTCTGATTCCTCCTCCTACATTAAATCCTAGGCCTCCCTCTGCATATTAAATTTTTTTTAAATTCCACCCAAAGTGATCTCTTCCCTCAAACTGTTATATTTTTGTAACAAACATTATAGAATGTACTTAATCTGACCTATACGTACTATCATATTGTACATCCTAACTTTGCTTCTGCACATCTCATCTCTCCAACTAGACCATAAATAATCCCTCTGAAGACTATCACACTGAGCTTTCCTCATAGCAAATGATTCATTTTTATTTTTATTTTTTTTTTAAGATTTTATTTATTTGACAGAGAGAGACACAGCGAGAGAGGGAACACAAGCAGGGGGAGTGGGAGAGGGAGAAGCAGGCTTCCCGCGGAGCAGGGAGCCCGATGCGGGGCTCGATCCCAGGACCCTGGGATCATGACCTGAGCCGAAGGCAGATGCTTAACGACTGAGCCACCCAGGCGCCCCAAATGATTCATTTTTAATCTGTTTATTAACCACTGACAGATCTTACGGGATTATTTTCTCATCTGTCCTACCTTGTCATTCCTGTGATGGTTGGAAGTGATATAGAAGTTCATGTATGTCTACTGATAATAAAACATGGTGCTAGATGCATGGAGATCCACAGAAGGGAGGGTAGAGAAGAAAAGAGAAACATATCAATAAAGCAGGTAAATGATGAAGCCTAGAGGTCTTCTAACTGAGGATGAAAGAGGCCCTAACTAGTAAAGGATTCTTCTGCAAGGAGGAAGTATCCACAGAAAGGAAGGAGACATTGACCATTACTTCTGCCTTGGAACGCTTATGACATATAGTCAAATTTTAGCGGCTATGTTAGGATTTGGGGAAGGGCAGGGTAGTTTTAATCTCAAACCACCAATAAAGCCTGAACTGTTTGCAAGTTCAGTCATAGAACAGACAATATTTGCATAATTGGACTTAGCTGAGTAGTTCCTTCAGCGGCAAGGAGACCCAAGAGCCAGCGTCTAGCACTTCAGAATACTAATGCCTATGTATGGGAAGTGCAGGGTGGAGGGGGTGATCAGGTTGGGATGTGTCCCCTGAGTGTGACTGAGCCAGGGCTAGGAAGGGATCTGTTGAATGGTTTGGGAACAGAGCTGGCCAAGCTCATGGCCCCTCTGTGGTCAGCTCATCTGCCCCCATTAGCCTCCCTTCAACACTCTGGGGGAAGCACAGCTTGGCCAACTCCTCCAGATGGTTCCTTGGCCCCTCATTCAGAATCAACCAGGAGGGCCAGCTCTGAGGCTTCTAAATCTGCCAGCCTCCTAAGGGAGTATTCCTAAATAGGAATATACTTGGGGAAGCTGATGAGGCCCCTCTAAATATTTGGGAGGCAGTCTTCGAATCAAATGGTTCGCCTGCTGCTGTCAAGGATTATAGGTCCTTGGGTGTGAACTCTAGTACAGGAAACCCTGGGCTGGAGGGGAGGGGACACTGGTTGAGGATCTGAGTGGGCTTCGGGGTTCCAGAAGGAACTGAGGTCACCTGGAAAATACAGAACTACTCTAAAAATTATTTAGGATGGCTTTTCTATGGATTCTCTATTCCCATGGGACTCCAGCCATATACATATATATATCTCAGTGACACAGTCTGTCTGATGATAAGACAGTGCTCAGCTCCCTAGTTCTCCCATGACACCAAGGAACCTTCTATTTTTTTCTGCAGCCAATCATTGCTCACAGTAAGTCTCCCCCTACAATACACATGGACATACCAGTGATATTTTGGACCCTCAATGCTCTGAAAATACAGAGAAATGTCTCAGCAAGGTAAAGAAGCAAGCTCCCAGACCTTGTCTTTGAAAATATTCAGTGTGGTAACTCAGGTCCCTGGATCACTAGGTTTCTCTCCCCCCATCCCTCAGTTACAGCGTATGAACAAGGGTCCATCTGAATTCCCATGGAAAAAAAAATTAATTCAGTGAGCTTTGCAGGACTAATGGGTTTAGTGTGGCTCTTAAAAATCTTCCTACCAGGCTGTTTGTCTAATATTGTGGCTGTTAGGCCTTTTCTTCTCAGAACTATCTAGAAAAAACTATCTATTTCTGTCTCGTGTGTTTATGTCTTATGAGTGTGTATTTTAATTTGTTTCAGCCTCTCCCCTTCTAAAAAACTCATTCAAAGAGGAGAATATATGTATGGTAAACATTGTTCACTCTCATGCTTCACTCTGGGCTTAACAGGAAATGCATTTCTGACACTTTTAAAATGAGCAATCACACGTATAATCAACTTGGTTAAAACTTCCTTCCTGGTAACTGCAACACTTCCTCTGCATCTGGATATGCAGGGAGACCCAGAAAAGCGGAAGAGTTTAGAGGCACACTGGGTAGATTCGAATTTGTTTTGTTTTCAAAAATTAAACAAATGATCCTTCAGCATCATCACCTCCGCTGCTTTATCAGGTATTACTTCCTTCTATTTTTTGCCCTTTTGTTGGGTCTGACTCGGACTAGTGACACTTCCGTCTCAGCTCGAATATTTTTATCTGGAATGGCTGTCGGTTCTTGAGATGATACCACCACTGAATGTCTCCTTGTCATTGTCTAGTCCAACCTAGACATGTGGATATCCACAAGGTTCCGGCAAAACCTTTTTCAGGTGCATCTGTCCTTTTTTGTTGTTTTGTTTTTGTTTGAGAGGAAGGGGGAAGGCAAGGGGCTTGTGCCAGCTGGGCTTCACGTTCTTACAAGTGCATGCTTAGTGCCTATTGTGCCTAACGGTGTTTCTGACGCCTTCTCTTAAGAGGAGAGAGCTTCGTAGCCTCAGCCATGAAGGAAAGCAGTGAGTATTTAGCCAGCCCGTTTTCTTCTGCATTTTGTATCTTGTGAGATTGTTTGGTATCACAGAGGCAGAAGTGATTGCTGTGTATTTGTCTTTTGCCTCAACTTGGACCTATTTTATTTCAACTTGGTGTCAATATAAATGTATCTTATGGTTCTCTTCTTTGGCAGTTAATCTATAATGTAGCCACAGACCAAACAGTGAATTAAAAGCTGCAAGAGATAGTCCTTTGGGACAGTTGATTTCATGTCTCTACTAAATATAACTTCATCATTTTTGAAGAGAGGGAATGTTGACTTTAAAAGTAAATTGAGGTCAAGATTTGAAGAGAAGTTTGGATCTAATGAACCTTGTCTTGATTATCTTTTAATCAAACTCTCCTTTTTGGTACACATCAAATGGTCTGCTATTTCTTAAGGAAATAAGTAGTTACGAGTCTCACTAACATTAGTCATTTAAGAGAGTAAACGATATTTTCTGAAACATTAATTTTTGTTTCGATATTTGATTCTTATTTAGAATATAACTTACAATGCCATGATATAAGTATGAAAATAAAAACCCTCCATTGTATTTCAATTTTAATATTTTTAGTATTTATTTGAAGTGTTTCCTATTGCATGCTGTCACATTTATACTGAAATGTTTTGTGAAGGGTAGGTACTTATTAAAGATTTAGGAAAAGAGTGAACTGATGAGAATAAATTTGTGAATTCTCATTATAGAGATGAAAATATGAGGGCAAAAAAGAAGTTAAATTATCCACTGGGGTCCAGATAGCAGGTCACTGGAGTCCAGAAATCCTTCCTTCCATCCTGTGGCTTCTCCACTATGGAAGGCAGAGCAGATGGAATGAATTGGTGCAAAATTAAACATCTGAACATTCCTACCAGAAGAGCACAGCCTTGGGGGACTCTCCTAAGATACTGCTCTAATGGAGCAAAGACATTTCACAATTCAAAAACTTAAATACCTGCAAATATTCTTGCTTTGCAACTTCACCCATTCTGATGGTTTTGAATATTATCAATGAAATTACTACCTTTCCTAACTAGAAAGGGAAAAAATGAAAAGAAAAAGACAGGAAGTTGGCTAGAGAGTAGATACCTGATCCAGACAGCTTGAAAATCACGAATGTGCAGCATGGTTGGGTGAGGTGTCTGAGTTCCAAGGAGAAGTGTCAGACTGACCAAAGACGAAACAAGTTGAAGGCCTGTTTTCAAAGTGGGTTTCAGCATCTCACACTGCGCCTTGTAAATTAGAACTCGGCCCTTTAAGTGGATGATTTTACTCCTCTATCCGTATCAGTATGCTTAAGAACAACAATTACCACTTGGAGCCATCGTAACATGTCAGGGACCGTGCGAGATGAGTGCTTTACATGTCTCTTTTTAATTAAATTTTCAGACGTAATGAAAGTACACAATAAATGAACTCCCATATACCTATCGCCCATACTGAACAAGGATATTACCTTATCTAATCCTCACCTCCACCCTCTGAGGTATTCCTAACCCCAACTGACAGGTGGGAAACAGACGAAGAGATCATTTAACTAGCTCAAGGCAGCCAGGTGCTAAGTGGCGGGATCAGGATTCACGGGCCCCAATTCCAAACCCGCCCCCCGCCCCCCGTATCTTCGTGCGCGCATCATTGCCATTCTTCGCCCTTCTCCTTCTGCCACCTCGTGGAAAAAATGTAAACAGAAAGTGCCTTCCCTGTGTCTGTGCTCCCAGGTCATGTCGGGCATGGAGCTGAAGCACCATGAACAGCCCGTGGTTCTGAGAGAGGACAACGGCCGCCGGCGCCGGAGGATGAAGCCGCGCAGCTCCGCAGCCAGCCTGTCCTCCATGGAGCTCATCCCCATCGAGTTCGTGCTGCCCACCAGCCAGCGCAACAGCAAGACCCCTGAGACGGCGCTGCTGCACGTGGCCGGCCACGGCAACGTGGAGCAGATGAAGGCCCAGGTGTGGCTGCGCGCGCTGGAGACCAGCGCGGCGGCGGACTTCTACCACCGGCTCGGGCCGGACCACTTCCTCCTGCTCTACCAGAAGAAGGGCCAGTGGTACGAGATCTACGACAAGCACCAGGTGGTGCAGACCCTGGACTGCCTGCGCTACTGGCAGGTGCTGCACCGGAGCCCGGGCCAGATCCACGTGGTGCAGCGGCGCGCGCCCTCCGAGGAGACGCTGGCCTTCCAGCGGCAGCTCACCGCCCTGATCGGCTACGACGTCACCGACGTCAGCAACGTGCACGACAACGAGCTCGAGTTCACGCGCCGCCGCCTGGTCACGCCGCGCATGGTCGAGGTGGCTGGCCGCGACCCCAAGCTCTACGCCATGCACCCGTGGGTGACCTCCAAGCCCCTCCCGGAGTATCTGCTGAAGAAGATCACCAACAACTGCATCTTCATCATCATTCACCGGAGCACCACCAGCCAGACCATCAAGGTCTCGGCCGACGACACCCCAGGCACCATCCTCCAGAGCTTCTTCACGAAGATGGCCAAGAAGAAGTCTCTGATGGATATCCCGGAGAGCCAAAGCGAACAGGATTTTGTGCTGCGCGTCTGCGGCCGGGACGAGTACCTGGTAGGTGAAACGCCCATCAAAAACTTCCAGTGGGTGAGGCATTGCCTCAAGAACGGAGAGGAGATTCACCTGGTGCTGGACTCGCCTCCAGACCCAGCCCTGGACGAGGTGAGGAGAGAAGAGTGGCCACTGGTGGACGACTGCACGGGAGTCACTGGCTACCACGAGCAGCTGACCATTCACGGGAAGGACCACGAGAGTGTGTTCACCGTGTCCCTGTGGGACTGCGACCGGAAGTTCAGGGTCAAAATCAGAGGCATTGATATCCCTGTCCTGCCCCGGAACGCCGACCTCACGGTTTTTGTGGAGGCAAACATCCAGCACGGGCAGCAGGTCCTTTGCCAGAGGAGAACCAGCCCCAAACCCTTCACGGAGGAGGTGCTCTGGAACGTATGGCTTGAGTTCAGTATCAAAATCAAAGACTTACCCAGAGGGGCTCTACTGAACCTCCAGATCTACTGCAGCAAAGCTCCAGCGCTGTCTGGCAAGGCCTCTGCAGAGACTCCCGGTTCCGAGTCCAAAGGCAAAGCTCAGCTTCTCTATTACGTGAACCTGCTGCTGATAGACCACCGGTTCCTGCTGCGCCACGGGGAGTATGTGCTCCACATGTGGCAGATTTCCGGAAAGGGAGAAGACCAAGGGAGCTTCAATGCAGACAAGCTCACGTCGGCAACCAACCCAGACAAGGAGAACTCCATGTCCATCTCCATTCTTCTGGACAACTACTGTCACCCAATCGCCTTGCCTAAGCATCGGCCCACCCCTGACCCCGAAGGGGACCGGGTTCGAGCGGAAATGCCCAACCAGCTTCGGAAGCAACTGGAAGCGATCATAGCCACTGATCCACTTAACCCTCTCACGGCAGAGGACAAAGAATTGCTCTGGCATTTTAGGTATGAAAGTCTTAAGCATCCAAAGGCCTATCCTAAACTGTTTAGCTCCGTAAAATGGGGACAGCAAGAAATTGTAGCCAAAACATACCAACTGTTAGCCAGACGGGAGGTCTGGGACCAAAGTGCTTTGGATGTTGGGTTAACGATGCAACTCCTGGACTGCAACTTTTCGGATGAAAACGTAAGAGCCATCGCAGTTCAGAAACTGGAGAGCTTGGAGGACGATGATGTCCTGCATTACCTGCTACAGCTGGTCCAGGTAGGGATGCTGCTATGCTCCACAGAGCACTCTCCTCAAAGAGTTTATTTGGGTGTACGCGGGCACCCCATCCAGTTGTCATCAAATGCCCTTTGTCCCTAGTGTCACAATCAGTCACAGTAGATCTGATGAAGCCATGTCAAAAAATAGTGAACTGCCCCATTTACTTTTTTACTCTCTTGGAGGGGTTGCCAATAAGCATTTTGAAGACCTAAGTAATTTTGCTTTTTAGGAAAACTGGCCCTACAGGAGTACTTTTGTTCTCATTTACTGTATGAGTAACAGATCCGATTTATTGAATGCTCCCTTGTGCCCAGACTCTGAGGCTCCAAGTGATTTGCATGCTTTTCCTGTATTCTCACATTGGACTCTCCCAACTACTATGATGGAGGTCAAATTAACATTTGCATTTTATGTGTAAGGACACAGGGGCACGGAGAGTCTAAGTAGTGTGCTTCAGGTCACATATTGGGAAAGAATCAGACCAGAAATCCAAACCAGGAGGTCTGACTCCAGGCCTTACTCTTTTCACTGCCTCCAATATCCTGCATCAATCCTGTGTCAGGATAGTGTGTCCTAGAGGAAAAAGATCAGCCTCTCTGATCACGCTCATCACCATCCATAGAATAACATCTCCTCTCTGGGTGGCACCTTGAAAGCCCCTCTCGTTAGACAGGTCTGGTCCAGGATTTCCACTCGGGGTTCTCACATCTTTCCCTGTTGTCCAGAGGGGCTCAGCAATTTGACTACGATTTACCTATAGGAAGTTGGAAAAAAGGAGGCATGATTCCACACACCACGGCCGTTCCCGGGTGGTGCTGTGCTGCTTAACGAGGAAGAGGAAGTAAAGGAATTGGAAGAGAAGTGTTTATTTTAGAGTGCAGACATGTCCCTTTATTAATTCAACAACACGTACTGAGTGTTTCCCCTGTTCTGGATGCTAGATATAGAGTGGTGATCACAACCGAGCCAGTCTCTGCCCGCCCACCCCCTTATAGCTTGTGGTGCGGTGGAGGAGATTGACAGCAAATGCATACACATACAGACATATTTAATACCAAATTGTTCACAGGCTTTGGGGGAAAACTGCAGAGTATTATGAGAAAATAGGCAGGAGTCCTGGGGATACTTAATTTAGCTGGAGGAAACCAGGGACAGTTTTGAGTATGTGATGTTTGACCTGAGATCCCAGGCTGTGTTAGACACTAAACAGCCAAATCATTAGCTATCGTTAGAGGAAGGCCCCGGAGTTTTCTGATGAGCATTTTGGATATTCTCAACTTCAACTCTGAATCTTCACCTTCTCATTAGGTGGATACTTGAAACATGACACTCGACCTTTGTTTTCATCTATTAAATGTACTTAATATTTTTTCTCTGCCGACTTAATTCAGATACTGACATCACACAAATGAAAATTAATGAAATTTAATTCACTGATGAATTATTTTTCATTGTCATTTTCACAAGTCAATTTTGCAGAACTCGAAAATGAATAGCATTCTTCTTGGAACTGTTTTAAATGAAAGAGGTCAATAAGTAACACTAACATTGAATTTGTGGTCATAAATTTGAGAAAGAGCCGTCATTTGTAAAACTATTTGAGACATTTTCAGATATGGCAGAATGACTCATTCCTGATGAAAATGGTCTCCTGGTTGAGATCTACATTGTGTTTACAGAAGTGAAACATGAATAAGGTCAAAAAGACTCACGTTCGAGGTAGAAACTTACAACTGATTCTGAAGTCAGTGGCTAAATAACCACATTTTCAGAATTCAGACCTTCACAGCAGCTCCAGACACCTACTGGCCCACACCCATGAGAAGCACCTTTGACAGCATGGGGATAAGAGAGATATTATCACTCAGTCTTGATCATTTCCAAACTGGAAAACCAGAGTAAGAACTGGAAATTGTACCAAGAATCCTATAAGCCTGCAAACATAAAGTGGAATGGGAATTTCTTTGGTTCCTTGGGGAAAAAAAGATAGGCCACTTCTATTTGTAAAGGAAATACTCTCTAAGAGTATTTTTAATTTCATGTAAGCCTCTCTTTATGCGTACACATGATATCCACCCTCTAACTTTTTGTATGCATCTTATTTGCTAGTCTTGCGGCTGTTAAAATGATGAGCTATTGCAGACTTACTGTAAATACAGAGAATGAAATAACAAATATTCATACACCCACCATTCTTAATTATTTTTTCCACTTTACTGTGCTTTTCCTTCAGTCATAGAGCTGTCTGCCACCCAAGTCAATATCTCTGTGATAGCCAAAGCATATGAAAACTACGAAACCTGAAGGAGCATCTAAAATCAGAGACTTTTCAGACAAAAACCTCTGTCTACACTGCCACATGGCAGGGGGTAGTGATCACTCTGTGTGGACGGTCCAGGCCTGCTATTTACTTGCAGGAAGGGCCTGTGAGGCAGCTTGGTGACTTGCCAGTGAGATGCCAAACAAACATCTTGAGCAAAAGAGGAGCGATAGGATTTTTAGGATCTTCACATCTAACAAATACTTTTCTCCTTATATGTACTATTATCTCCACTGTCCATTTCCTTTCCAACAACCTCTTTTACATTCCACTTTTGTGGATTTGTTATAGCCATCCCCGTGGGTCCTGTCTGTCCTTCCAGTAAATCAAGTAAGCCCTTAATGGGAGCTAAAGCCTTACCACTTCACCTTTGAAGTTATCAAAAGCACATAACGGTAAGTCAAGTGTTCTTGCTTCTAATCCCAGGCCCTAAGCAAGTGGTTCACTCTGGCCCAAAGTGTCCTCGAAAAGAAAGGGTTGACTTGAGTGACTGGTAAGATTCTCATCACCCTCGCCCGGAAAGACCCAGGAAGGCAGACCATTTCCCCTCCATTCCCTTTTTCCTGATTAACCAACACAGAGTGCAGTCCTACAAGTGCCCATGTGTTCTTCCCTCAGGCTGTGAAATTTGAACCATATCATGACAGCGCCCTGGCCCGATTTCTGCTGAAGCGAGGCTTAAGAGTAAGTCCTTCTACTTTGATCATAGCGGGGCATTTCCAAAGTTAGCAAGAATTGACTGCCAGAGCGTGAGTCACAATAATTTCATCCTTCTCGTTCCCACCCTCAGAACAAAAGAATTGGTCATTTCTTGTTTTGGTTCTTGAGAAGCGAGATAGCCCAGTCCAGGCACTATCAGCAGAGGTTCGCCGTGATCCTGGAAGCCTATCTGAGGGGCTGCGGCACGGCCATGCTACACGACTTCACCCAACAAGTTCAAGTGATCGAGATGCTGCAGAAGGTCACCATTGATATTAAATCGCTCTCTGCTGAAAAGTATGATGTCAGTTCCCAAGGTACAGTGGCTGTGTTCTCGGGGTTCCCTTTCCAAAGGGAACCTTCATTTCCAAATGCCATCATCCTTGTGATTCTTCTCCTTCAGGAAGGCAAGTCGCACCTTCCGAAAGGGAGCCCCAAGGACACATTTTTTAATCCTCTGTCTCTGTGGAGTAAGCAAATTTAAAGCTCTCCTTTTACACATTCATATTTTTTTGAACTATACATGTATACGTGCTAATGATGAATTTATGATAATAGTCATTAAGCTCTGAAAAATTAAAAAAGCATTATGCCGATGTAAGATGGATTAAGAACAATTGCACGCACATACACAAAGATTAGTTCTTTGCAAATATTTACCAGTTTCCTCCCTTTTAATATATGTGTGTAATTTTCAAATTTTCAGTCTTTTAAAGAAATGAATTATTGAGAAGCTAATTAAAAATCTGTGTGTATATATATTTATATATATATATATATATTTATATATGTCAGGGTACTTGTATACATATGTAGATACCTCCTCTCTGAAGTCATTTCCAATGTGATCTTATGCCTAAGAAATCCTGCCCCTGCCCCTAGGAAAATTAATCACTCTTTCTCTGTATTCCCATAGGTTTGGGTTGATACTGTATTAAATTATAGTCTTTAACACATCTTTCTGGTCTGGTAAACTGTATGAGCCTTGAAACTAGGGGATATTTCTTATTCATTTTTGTATACCTAGACCCAGCACTATGGCTCCTAATGGACACACTCTAACATACTCAGCCAGTATTTTAAACTTTTAAATATTCTGAATTTCCACTTTTTCTCTGTCTTTTCCAATACACCTGCAGTACTCTCTCCTAAAAAATAATAATGGTAATAATCATCTGACTTTTATTTGCTTTGTATGTAAGAAAGGGAAACACTTGTCCTGGCCTCCAGTATGATATCCAGGAAGTCATTTTTAACCTACATATTTTGCCTTAGAATTTAGAATTCTGAAGAACTCTTGAATTTTGAGGCTATCACGTTGTCTCCACATAACCTAACTTCCTCTTTTGAAAAGAATTTACAGAACCCTAACCGAATGGCATTTAATACGGTCTTCAAATGTCTGTTCCCCAAACCACACTGGCAGTTGAGAGTTTCACATTGGAATGATAACTACAGTGTTCATTCCTTAGCCTTACCCTCAAAATTCCCTCCCCTACCTGACTGGCTTGGGATTCCACAGACGCAATGCAATCCTACGCTTCTATCCTCTGCTGTCTCACGCATCATGGTCATATTGCTCACAGTAAGCCTGACTTATCATGCCACCTCTTATGTTAGTTCCTCAAAGACAGAACCCTACCCCCTGCTCCACACCAAATGGATGGAATGTTATGAAGAAATGTGGCCTCAGGAAGTGTTCTAATGTTGGTGACTTCTCGAACTCACGTAACTTTTGTGTGCTTTTGACAATTACAGTTATTTCACAACTTAAGCAAAAGCTCGAAAACCTGCAGAATTCAAATCTCCCAGAAAGCTTTAGAGTGCCGTATGACCCTGGACTGAAGGCAGGAGCATTAGTGGTAGGTATCACCCTGAGGTCTCCAAGTGTTCTTTGTGTCTTGAAGTTGTCTGTGCATACCTTACAGGGCCCTGTGGGTCAAAGCTAACGTGTCTAGAGAGACAGAGAAGCTGGAAAGGCCCCGAGAGGGCTCCTGTCAGGGATTTCTCTAAGCACTAGCTACTCGAAGCCTCCACACCAGGCAATCTCCCATCCACTTGGTTTTAAATCAGCTCTCTTAAGGAATCATTCACGTACAATAAAATCTGTTCATTCTAAGTATACAGTTCAATGAGTTTAGACAAATCATATAACCACCACCACAATCAGGATAGAGGACATTTCCAAGGAGATGTCATAGGCAAGTTTCTTTCATGTGCCTTTGCAATTAGCCCTTCCCTCCTTCCATCCCCTGTCCTGGACAACAGATCTGCCTCTGTCACATCATTGTGCTTTTCCTAGAATTTCATGAAATGGAGTCATACCGTATGTGGTTTTTTGTATCTGGATTCTTTTCCTTAGCATAGTGCTTTTGAGATCCATCCACGTCGCTGTGTGTGTCAGCAGTCTGTTCCTTTTTTTTAATGACTGAGTGGTATTCCCCTATGTGGATATACTACTATTTGTTTTCCATTCACCTTTTGAGTAAATAATTAACAGCGAGTTAGTGGAGTCATGGTACATGTATGTTTAATTTTATAAGACACTGCCAAACTGTTTTTCCAAAGTGACTGTACCATTTTATGTTCCCACCAGCAGTGTGAGTTCCAGTTGTCCCACATCCTCGTCAACACTATTAGCAATCTTTAATTTTAGCCATTCCAGTGGTGAAGTGGTTTCTCACTGTTGCTTTTATTTGCGTATCTCTAATGATGTTGAGTATCTTTTCATGTGCTTTGTTTTATTTTTTGAGAAGTTTCTGTTCTCATCTTTCATTCATTTTTAATGTGGGTTGCCTTCTTACTTTCAAGTTATTTTTATATTCTGGATACAAGTCCTTTATCCTTTCTCAGGTATACATTTTACAAATACCAGTCCATGGCTTGCCTTATCATTTTCTTAGTAGTGTATTTCAAAGAGCAGAGGGCTTAATTTTGATTAAGCCCAACTTACCACTTTTTTTATAGTTTGTTTTTTTGTGTGTGTCCTATGATACATTTGCTTTATCCAGTAATTCTCACCCAGGGTTGACACCCCCCAAAACACACACACACACACACACACACACACACACACACACACACACACACGGTAATGTCTGGAGCTATTTTTTATTGTCACAACTGGGACAATGCTACTGACATCTAGTGGGTAGAGACCAGGGATGCTGCTAAATATCCTACAATGCACAGAACAGCCCCCCAATGACAATAAATGATCTAGCCCAAAATGTCAACAGTGCCAAAGTTGAGAAATACTGCCTCATTCAATGCGACAAATACTTTTCCTAGAGTCTCATGGTTTTCACTTTTATATGTAAGTCCTTGATCCATTTTGAGTTAATTTTGTGTACAATGAGAAGTAAAGATCAGGTATGGGTTTTTTAGAATTGAATATCCAACTTTTCTGGCACCATCTGTTGAAGACTAACCTTTTCCTGTTGAAATACCTTGGCACTTTGTCAGATATCAATTGACCATATGTGGGAGTGAGTCTATATCAAGATTCTCTAGTGCACTTCATTGATCTAAATATCTAGCCTTGGCGTGCCCAGATGGCTCAATTGGTTGAGTTTCTGACTCTTGATTTTGGCTCAGGTCATGATCTCTGGGTTGTGAGATCAAGACCCGCATCGAGCGCTGCACTCGGCAGGGAGTCTGGGATTCTCTCTCTCCCTCTTCCTCTGTCCCTCCCGCTCACTCTAAAATAAATAAATTAACCTCTTAAATAAATAGATAGATAGATATCCTTACATCAATACCACATGCTCTCGGTTACATTCAGATGATAAACCCCTTCATGTTGGCATAAGACTCTTACAACAGTAGACTTCCATCCTTTGTACTATTTTTATCATGCCTGTAACTCCCACATATGTTATAAACCCAATAAAATCATCGTCATTATTATTGCTTTAAACAGTTAAGAATAGATTTAGCAGATTTAAGAGATTAAGCATTTTTTATATTCACCCACATACTTACACATTTGGGACTCTATTTCTTTGTATCGGTTCATGTGTCCACCTGGCATCCTTTACCTTCACCTTAAATACTTCTTACAGTGCAAGTCTTCTGGCTAGAAATTCTTTCAGCTGTTGTTTGTCTGAGAAACCTCTTTATTCCACCGTCATTTTTGAAAGATGTTTCCCCTGGACATCAAATTCTAGGGTGATTTTTTTTTCTCCCTTTCAGTAGCCTTTTCTTCTGGTCTGCATATTTTCTGGTGATAAGTCTCCTGTCATTCTCATCTTTGATTTCTGTACATGTCTTTTTACCCCAGGCTGCTTTTAGGATTTTCTTTTTAGCACCGTGGTTTCCAGCAAATTGATTATGATGGATCTTGGTATGGTTTTATGTTTTGTCTACTAGCATGTGTTGAGCTTGGATAAACGGCAGAGTTGCTCTGTATTAACAGGCATGAGGGAGTACCAGGGCCCTGTAGGAGGGGGGTGTGCCAAGGATGGGATCTGCCATTGCCTCTTTTTTTTTAAGATTTTTTTATTATGTTAATCACCATACATTACATCATTAGTTTTTTTTAAGATTTTATTTATTTATTTGACAGAGAGAGACACAGCGAGAGCAGGAACACAAGCAGGGGGAGTGGGAGAGGGAGAAGTAGGCTTCCCGCGGAACAGGGAGCCCGATGTGGGGCTCGATCCCAGGACCCTGGGATCACGACCTGAGCCAAAGGCAGACGCTTAACGACTGAGCCATCCAGGCGCCCAACATCATTAGTTTTTGATGTAGTGTTCCATGATTCATTGTTTGTGCATAACACCCAGTGCTCCATGCAGAATGTGCCCTCTTTAATACCCATCACCAGGCTAACCCATCCCCCCACCCCCCTCCCCTCTAGAACCCTCCGTTTGCTTTTCAGAGTCCATCGTCTCTCATGGTTCGTCTCCCCCTCCGATTTCTCCCCCTTCATTTTTCCCCTCCTGCTATCTTTTTTTTTTTTTTTTTTTTTTTTTTTTTTTTACATATAATGTATTATTTGTTTCAGAAGTACATTGTGGAGGCGCCCAAGAGGCAGACTCAGGTTTCCTTGGAACACAGTTTGAGAACCCTTGCTTTTAGGTGTTGTGACTTGCTCTCATAGAGCATTTCCAGATTTGGTAGGAACACTTTGTGTATTTTCACCCAGATCATTAAACATCATTTTCCAGCTAGGACTTTGTACTGGTTGTTTGTAGTGATGCTTTGCAAGAGGATTTGTGTCTCCGCATTATGCATTCATTATGTGTAGGAGCCATGTGACCATTTCCTTACAGATTGAAAAATGCAAAGTGATGGCCTCCAAGAAAAAGCCCCTGTGGCTTGAGTTTAAATGTGCTGACCCTACAGCCCTATCCAATGAAACGATTGGAATCATCTTTAAACATGGTGATGATCTGCGCCAAGACATGCTGATTTTACAGGTATGCTACCGTTAAGGAATTTTTTGTTCAATTACCTGAAAAAATAATTCCATGTTAGACCTAAAAAAAAATGCCTCCTATGGATTCTATTCCCATTCTCCTACTCCGTCCACACACGGTGATCAAAGATTCTGTAACAGAGAGTTTTCACGGGGGGAACGTGGCTGTAGACTATTAGATGTGCAATTAGTGAGCATCCCAGTTCTGTCTGCCTGTGAGATGCACAGCCAGTCTTCCCACATAGCCAGATAGGTCTCCCTCCCCTAACTCCTCTTGTACACAACCCATTCCTAGTAACATAAAATATAGACATATTTGGCCCCCTGGCATCCACTTTATTTGGATTTATAGACATAACTGTGCACCCACAGGTGCTCTCCTTAGATACATCACTTTGATATACATCCACATCCACAAACTCAAGTGAAGGATTTGACAGGAAGGAGAGAGAAGATGAACAGGCAGGTGATTTCAGAAATCATGCAGTTAAGTAGCAAGAGTGAATGGATTACTAGAGCAGAAGGTGGATGGTAATCAATGTTAATCATCCTCCGTATTGTCTAACATTTCCGGATCAACTTTAGCTTTGCAAACTGGTGAAATAAATCTCCATATTCCAGCTCACCATTGTAGAAGTAACATAATTTCTCATCTTTAGTGTGGCTTATTTAAAATAGGCAAACCTTGGGGCACCTGGGTGGCTCAGTCATTAAGCCTCTGCCTTCAGCTCAGGTCATGATCCCGGGGTCCTGGGATCGAGTCCCACATCGGGCTCCTGGCTCAGTGGGGAGCCTGCTTCTCCCTCTCCCACTCCCCTGCTTGTGTTTCCTCTCTCGCTGTGTCTCTCTCTGTCAAATAAATAAAATCTTTAAAAAATTAAATAAAATAGGCAAACCTCATTGATTTAAATGTGGCCTATTTAAAAACTGGTCATGTTTTCCATTCTTTCCATTTCTGCTTGTATTTATTTCTAATATGGAAACAATAGTACCTTTTGCTCTCTTTTCAAGAATCCTATGTGTATTGTCCCAGAAGTATTAAAAAGTAAGAAAGAAAAAGAAATCCTTCAAACCTTTTGAAGGTTTGTTGCATTTCCCATAAATCTGTAGACTCCTTTGAATTATTCAAAGACAAGAGCTTCAGAAACGCAAAGCATCACTGTGCATCACTGTGTCCTTCCTCCCACTTTGCAGGGAGGTTTGCACTTGCCTTTTATGTACTTGTTTTGATGCTGAGGCACACACTTCTTGGCAGGTGAGGGCAAGTTTCAAAAGCTTATGAAGCCTTAGTCTCTCCACCTGCAGAATGGGAATGATAATCCTACTCACAGGTTAGGGTAAATGCAAAGGATCAACATAAAACAGACTCAGTAAAGTAGCCAGCATTCTCATCACTGTTAGTGTTGCCTTGGGTTAACCCAAGAGCGCCTTACGGGTAAAAACTCATAGAACGTCAGAGTGGAACATTTTTTGTTGTGGTGATATAATACACATAACTGGAGTGGAACCCCTGGACCGCTGAAACGTGATTACCGCCTCTCCCTGCACTAAGTCCATTCATCGTCTTCCCCAGAGTACATCTGAGGGACCCAACTTAAGAGGCTCCAAAGGAAAGGGAACTTCAGAGCACCCCACTGATAAATAAAGTACAGATGTTACTTACAGAGTGTACGTTAATGTACATATTTCATGTTTCCAGTTAAGATTGTCGGGTTTTTTTTAAAGGAGAAGAAAAATACATTAAACAAATATGTATTTCTAATGGAAACGTTTTTTTGTGTCCAATGTCTAGATTCTACGAATCATGGAATCCATTTGGGAGACTGAATCTTTGGATCTGTGCCTCCTGCCATATGGTTGCATTTCAACTGGGGACAAAATAGGTATGTGGTCACCTCGGGAGATGAATGTACTGCTTAGCTCACTTTAAAAGATCCTAAGCCCTTTAGTGCAGGCATTTAATACCTGGAAAATTACAAACATAATCCATATAAAAAGGAAGGCAGTGTTCCAAGGCTGGTGCATGTGCCTCTCGATTTAATGTGGATCTGTTGAAAATATACAAATGTGGGATTCCAATCCTGTGACTATACATGGCAATGATTTTAGTTAAGAACTCATTCCCTCCTCTCTACTTCTCCATGTCTAAACTTTAGCTCGTTTCACTGCACATTAAACTTCTCTCTCACAAATAACATTTAAAAATAGATGGTAAGATCTGTCACTTATTTCAATATCTTAGAATTCACATTATTGAAGCGATTACATACTCGACTCTTAGGTGCTTTTGTAGACATTTAACATTTTTGTTTCCACCACAGATATTTTTATTCGAGCTTCTGATCTGAGAACTGTATAAAACCACTTCCATTTGACCCTTGATTAAAAAAAGGAAAAGGCAGTTTGCCAAGAACCTATGCTCAGCACATACATGCTTTTACTTGTTACCTTTTTTTTTATTATTTTTATTTATTTGACAGAGAGAGACACAGTGAGAGAGGGAACACAAGCGGGGGGGGTGGGAGAGGGAGAAGCAGGCTTCCCGCGGAGCAGGGAGCCCGACGTGGGACTCGATCCCAGGACCCCAGGATCATGACTTGAGCTAAAGGCAGACGCTTAACTGAGCCACCCAGGCGCCCCTACTTATTACCTTTTAAAACCAACCTTTCATCTTTTCATTCAGGGATACTGAAAGCATGTCCCACAAAACTTCCTCCATCTTCCTCCTTTTCTTTCTCTCCCTCCTAAGAAAACCAACAGCACAAACCTGGACAATAGCCTCCTCCCATCAACAGTGACACAGCCATTCACCCTCTAGGTCAGGCACCAGGCCCCAATTTACATCAGATTCTGTGCCTCCTCCCATAGGCATGATCGAGATCGTGAAAGATGCCACGACAATTGCTAAAATTCAGCAAAGCACAGTGGGCAACACGGGCGCATTCAAAGATGAGGTCCTGAATCACTGGCTCAAAGAAAAATGCCCTATCGAAGAAAAGGTGAGCTCCTGCTTTTCCCAGTGCCGAAGGCTCCTTACACGCTTGTCATTTATGGTAGCAGTGACGGGTTCGTGTTTTCAAAGGATCTACCCATGTCATGCCCTCCTGATGTTGGGTGAAACCCTTTCCTTGTGAGGCCGCGGGGGTTTTAAGTGCCTTCCCCGGGGGACACAGCAGATCTGTGTAAAACGCAGGTGCTCCGTTTAGAATGCTGTGAGCATTTGTTTCTCCTTTGATTATCAGGCACGCTTTGCATAAAATTTGGCTCTATGAAATAATGTGTTGGCACTTTTAGGACAGTCCATTTTTGTTGTTCAGCAGAAAAATGTAGTCACCGTGTACCTTCCTACCTGGGGAACGCCACGCATCCTATCAGCAAATTGCTAATTTACTGCTCCCCCCCAACTAAACAGTGCATTATGGATGCGGCAAATGTCAGTTCCAGCATCCTTCTGAAGGACATATGCTGCATCCTTCAAGCTGCGTGCTTGGGCTGTTTGGCTGTCGTTTCAAGTTCTGCACAGGATTAGCACTTCTCATTTGCATGGTTAGCAGCCTTTTGGGGAGGAAATATAATTAGCAGCATTTATTAGCCTGCTATACATGTGGATTTGTGAACCCGTGCATACTTGAAGCGGTCACAAGCAAAACATATGTTCACTGATGAAGGAGAAACAATTATGGGTTCTGTGGAGTTGTCGGCAAGCGATGCATGGAGCGGAAATGAACCCTTTGATCAACTGTTGCTCTTTGACTCTTGTTTCCTCCGCCTGCTCTTGTGAGTCACTGACTCTTCACCTAAAATATAAGGACAGCGATGAGAAAGTCGGCACCTAGTAGACAGAACGTGAATGAAATCAGGCGCAACCCACCTGCTCTCTGAAAATGGTTCCCAGACAGTGCCTTTTTGGAAGTCGTCTGTAATTGACTTGGGCTGCTCTTTGTAGTTAGAACACAACTGATATTCGGACGCCTTCTAATTAGTTTCAGGCAGCCGTGGAGAGATTTGTTTATTCCTGCGCTGGCTACTGTGTGGCTACCTTTGTTCTTGGAATAGGCGACAGGCACAACGACAATATTATGATCACAGAGACAGGTGAGTTTATTTATTATTGTTTTTTACTGTGGTAAAATATATATAACAAAATGTACCACTTTGACTGGTTTTAAGTGTATAGTTAAATGGCATTAAATGCTCACATTGCCGCACCGCCATCACCACCATCCCCCAGAACTTTCTCACCTTCCCCAACTGAAACACTGTCCCCACTGAACTCATACTAACCCCCCCTTTCCCCTTCCCTCGGCACAGAGTGATATTTACACAGGGTTCAAGGTGGGAGCACACATCTAGAAGTCATTACCGGGCAGGGACATAGACGCTGTGATCACCCCAGAGAGGACCCGGGAGAGAATAATGGAAGAAGATGCCAGAAATGAGACTTCACAAGGAAAAGCCAGAGAGCCGATAGAAAGTTGGGTAGGGGCATATCCCAGAAGCTGGTGAAGGCGGGTGTGGTCAGTAGCATCAGACGTGGCAGAGAGGTGACAACAAGTTCTCCCAGATGTCCTTACATCTGAAACGCTCTGCCTTCCTAACCTACCCCTCGTCCCTCGTTCACGGACCGCCCTGACAGTGGTCAGTACTGGCTACCGTGCCAAGAAAGGTTTCTCTAAGAAATCTGGACCAACTGAAGAGTGGAGCCTGGAAAAAGCACCAGACTGGGGTAAATTGCTTACTCCCTGTGAGAAGCAAAAGACACCATGTATTTATGGACCACATGTGTGATATGGGCTATCTAAACAAGAGGAGATGATGGTAATCATGGTGGTAGTAGTGACAGTGATGGAAATGGACTCAAAGGGGATTCAAAAAGGTTTATTTCTATGGCACTACTCAAAAGTAAAAGGTGAATGCCCTTCCCCCAAGCAGCGTCAACCATCCATGTATCCTGAGTCACATAAAGGGCATAAGAGAGTCCCGGGCATAATGATGACAGATTAGCCAGAGCGTTTGGACTTAACAGTTCTAAGAATAATTCTGAGACGAGTCGAGATTTTTTTTTAATGGCATTTGCTGTCATTTAAAGAACGCCAGAAGGATATCAAAAACACACTTGGTTCAAAGAGTGCTTTGTGGTTACTACTACACACACCTGCTAAGCTGAAAAGTATCACAAGCTGATAAAACAGGGTAAAAATAGCTCTCTCACCCAAGATAGCTCATTTTCAGGCAACTTAAAAAAATATTTCAGGAAATAAACAAACCAGAGTGTTGTTACAAGTGACTGGGCCACTGTAATGATGTCAGACATTTTCTTCTCTGAAGGAAACCTATTTCATATTGACTTTGGACACATTCTTGGGAATTACAAAAGTTTCCTGGGCATTAATAAAGAGAGAGTGCCATTTGTGCTAACCCCAGACTTCCTGTTTGTGATGGGAACCTCTGGAAAGAAGACAAGCCTGTACTTCCAGAAATTTCAGGTAATTGGCCTCCTGCTTCCTGGCCTCCGGGAACACCAACCAGAGGGTGCCTACCGGGCACAGGAGCCCCCCACCCCCGCTCCGGCTCCACTGAGGCTTTTCTGCCTACCCTCTCTGGCAGACACCCTCAGTCTTCCCTGTTTCCTCCATTCCATCCCCAAGGGCAAAATGCCACTCCTCTGTCACCTCCCACCTCAAACCAAATGGCAAGTGAAATGAAAGCATTCCGTAATCAGTGGGACAGGCAGTTACAGGACACCACGATGGTCCCTGTACTGAAGAGGGGCTTGACCAAGGAGTGCCTCCGAGTATTTCTTTCTCTAGTCAAGCCAGGCCCTAGAACAACCAAATTTTACCTGTTCCTTTCAGGACGCTCCAACAGGTGTGAGCTTCTCTTGATGTTTGCTACAGGTGTGTCTTTATCAAATTACGGACAGAGGACTTGGTGGCAGCACCACTGGACTTGTCTGTGTGTGAAGGACAGTCCCTTCTCTCATTTGAAATCCTGTCAACGTGTCTGCAGGTGGTAAAACCAGCTCTGACACGACCTGCCTACCAGCCCACGAGCTCTGACACAGGCAACCCATCTCCCCGGGGGGTTCACATCCTCCTTTCTTTTTCATTCCTTCCTGGTTTCCATCCCCTTTGACTACCAAATATTTCAAACATCCGAGGAGTAAAATGTTCACACTTGCAAATTTAATCACTGTGAATGAATAGAACTGAAAATTACTACCTAACTGCTACATACGATACCTACATGGTACCCCCTACAAACACAAAACAGATCAGTGGAGGCGAAGAGTGAGCACTTGATCTGCACCTGTGCCTTGGGTCCCCATTAAAGA